TAGGGATTTCATATGTGTAGTCCTATAAATAGCTCAATGTGTATTTATCTAGCCATATACCCAGTGCTGGAGTGATAGCACAGCGGTAGTGCGTTTGCCTTGCACACAGACAACATGGCCGACCCGAGTTCGATTCCTCCGCCCCTCTCGGAGAGCCCGGCAAGCTACCGAGAGTATCTTGCCCCGCACGGCAGAGCCTGGCAAGCTCCCCGTGACGTATTCGATATGCCAAACACAGTAACAACAAAGTCTCCAATGGAGACGTTACTGGACCCGCTCGAGCAAATCGATGAACAATGGGAGGGCCATACTTACATACTTACATATTCATGTGGAATAATAAAAATGACCATGCAAATGGAGTATGTGCAAAGAGCACTCAATAAGCAATAAGAGGACTTGAGTGATGGCTGAAAGGCCTGACACACAAGTATTGCATGCAGAAGGTCCAGAATGAACTTCCAGCATCTCACGGTTCCCTGAACACTGCTAGGGAGAAACCCGTAGCAAATACCTAACCTCTAGGGAACACCAAGTCAAGAGTATCCATGTGTGCCTTAGCCAACTGAATGGTGTGATAATGAGTTAATGACCTCCATGTGAAGAACATTAGCTAGCCCATGGGGATTGACAAACCATGGAGAGTTTAGTTATCCCAAGCAGTCACACTAACCCAAGTGACCATCAGTCAACATTAGCAGAAATGCCATCCTGGATTAAGTTTGTTATTATTGTATTCTTTTCTGTTGTTTTGGAGTCTCACCTGACAAAACTCAGGGACTTCTCCCGTCTCTGTGTCCTGTCCAGAGAGTTGTGCCCCTGGTGGTGCTCAGGAAAGTATAAATGGTGTCGGATTGAACCTGGGATCAGTCACATGCAAGTCAAGAGCCTTAATCCACTTTACCCTCTCTCCGGTCTCTAACCTGGATCAAAAGAAGCCCCTGTTATTAAAACACTTAGCTGATCCATAGACTTGTAAGTGATAACATGCTTATAGCAGCATTTTTTGGCTTTTAAAATATAAAAATAGCCAAATTATACAATATTGTTTATGAAGACAATGGCTTAAAATGAAGCATAGATATTTTTGTAATCACTTCAGTGTGGGGCTTGACTGTCCATCTGGAAGGGCAGGGTTCATGGCTGCCCTTCTAGTCAGCACATTGCAAAGCATCTGGAGTGTAGAACCACTTGATAAATATTTATGAATGAATATTAAATGTCTTTCCTGAGAAGAACCTATACCTTTATAAACACTCAATTATTACTTAAAGTGTCTCAACCTATAGGAGAGGATATCTTAATTTCACTGTTAATTGAAAATGCACTTTTCCTCTTGGAAAACTCCCCTCCCTCCCTTTTGTATGGGATAAGGTTTCAGTGAAAAAGAAAAATGCCAATAAGCTTATAAATGTAAAACACGAAGGTAAGCAGGTCAAGGAATGAATGGTGTGGGTTTTCAGGTTCATCCTTGTTAAGAATGGCATCTTTGAGATGCAAAATTTTTTAGTTTTGAAAACTAGTAGTGCTTTTGAGAACACGCTTTCGTATTTTCATGCCTCAAGGTACTTGCTGGTGCATAGGGCCTTGGCAGTCTGGGCTTAGAATTTCAAGGACCCATCTAAGAGCAGACTTGCTTAAGAAACAGTAGTAAAAGGAACACAAACAATTGATTTTGGGGGGATGTAAAAGGGAGGGGTGTTGGGCTCCTTGGAGAAGGGATGCCGTTAGACAAGCCATGGGTGTGGTGTTGGAATTATGTGCATGAAAAATCATTAGTAGTTGGGCTAGAGTGATAGCACAGCAGATAGGGCATTTGCCTTGCATGTGGCCGACCCAGGTTCGATTCCCAGCATCCCATATGGCCCCTCAAGCACTGCCAGGAGTGATTCCTGAGTGCATGAGCCAGGAGTGGCCCCTGTGCATCACCGGATGTGATCCAAACAGCAAAAAAAAAAAAAAGTCATTAGTAGTAGTATTATAAACCACAGAATCTCAATCAATAAAAAATTAAAAAAGTAATAAAGTGAAAGGGACAGGAAAGAATTTAAATGTTCTGAACAAATTTTTCTGTTTATTTTTGGACCATACCTAGATGTGTTCAGGGACAACTCCCTGCTTGGTTCTTGGGGTGCTCTGGTAATTGGGCAGAGCCAAGTGATTGGACCTGCAGAGCAAAGCAAAAGCACAAGCAAAGCATGTGCTCAGTGCTCAGCTCATTAAACCATCTGTTGAGACCCATACTCTTGTTTTTCCAACTAAGCAAAGGCTCATTTACTTAAAATCTAGAATAGATTTTCATTACTTAGAGGACCCATACTTGGCAAGCTGTGGGGAGATGTATGTTTGCAAGGCATAAATAGAGCCATTTGGGATATGTCCAGGGTAACATTATGGAGGAGGCAGTCAAATTTTAGCAAAAGCAGAAGCAAGATCATTTACATCTATTCTTCAGTACCTTGCTCATATGTGAGAAGCAGATTACGGAGGTTCATTACTTGTTGAGTGTTCCGGATACTTTGTGGGGGTTATAATTTGCAAATCCCAGCATGATACAAGGATGTAGGGGGTTATTTAGATTCCCTCTCCCTCTCCCCAAACTGGTGTAATTTGGACCATTATGATTCACTTCTAGTTGTTCAGATAATCTGACCATCAACGCATTAATAAGCATTCCCTAGCCATGAGAAATGATCAATAGATTGGGGAAAATAAGCATATTTTTAAAAATATTTAATTTTAAAATTTTTATTTGAAAAATACAACACACAGCAGAGAATTATTACTTCCCCTACTGAACCTTCACAAAGAAAACTATATGGTAAATGTAACTGAGATATTTGGCTAGGATAGATCCTGAGAAAAGAGAGGGCCAGTTAGGAGTGGAATAGACAAAGTCTGTCAAAGAAGATTCACTTCTCTTTTAACATAAAAGATCCTTTAAAATAATCTTACGAATCAGGTAAAAACATGTGCAGAATTCCTGCCATGCAAACAGAGATTATTTGAAATTTTCAGGCTGACCTGAGCCCCAAGTAAGAATAAAAAGATGTCTTTATCATAAAGATATGTTAGTTTGCCTTTACTAAACTAGGTATGTACATATTTACAAATTAATGTTTCTTAAACCTGTATTTTTTTTAGTTTTCAGTAAAAACATAAAGGTTAAGGGCTCTTGCCTGGATTTTTGCTGTAGGTATCTGAATCTTTTCTGAATTTTGTTCATGGTAAGATGATTCATTGTACAATACTGGATTCATTATTTCTTAAATATTAGATGTGATTGTACACTAATCCTGGGTTAAAGTTGGGATTTTGAGGAATTCACAAATCTTCCATCAGGTTTAGTAGGGTACAGAGTTACAACATTTACATACAAATACATACGAAGGCTTTCAAGAAGAAAAATGCTGCTGACTGGCTCATTAGAAAACATACTTGTATTGATCTAACTCTGTAGCTCTAACTGGTAATTCTGCCACTGAATACAATTATTTTCATCCCCTTTCATTTGAATTCCCAGCAAATTAACTCCCCTTCACTATGGTAGTATCTGAAATGTATTTAAAGTGGATCAAGGCATTCCAAACATTTTCATATTCTAAGTTTTGAGCAGAATTTAATTGTGATAGAAACTATAAATTATTAGAACTACAGATTTCCACAGATATGGAAAAAAAGCATGTGATATCTATTTAGGGGAAATGAATAAGAATTTGGTTATATTTGATAATTTCTGTTGAAACTGCAAAAATTTTTGAAAATTTGTTAGGTTTAGGGTTAGAAACTATTATTCATATAGGCCAAAGCTATCGGGGATAGTTTAAAGATTTTAAGCGTATTTTTCAGGAGTACAATTAAATGATTCTTATAGCATCTTCATCTTTCTTATATGATTTTCATCTTTTATACCACATAGTCAGTGAAACGAATGTCCCTTAGTAGCTCAAAGGACTGAATATGGTAGTCCTTTCTCCAGAGCTGGGTGGGGGTTGGGGAGAAGAGAGACATGAGAATGAGGTTTTCTAGACATTTGGGAATTATTTTGTTTTAATGGGGGGGGGGGGTGAGGGTTTGGGTCACATCCAGCAGTGCTCAGGGCTTACTCCTGACTCTGTGCTTAGGGGATCACTTCTGGCAGTGCTTGTTGAGGGGACCATATGCATTGCCAGAGAGTGAACCAGGGTTTGCTTTATGCAAGGCAAGTGCCTTATTCTCTGTACTATCTCTCTGACAATTGGAGTTATAAAACAAGACAATAAATAAACTACTATTTATAGTCTTTAAAAATATTAAAAAACATAAATATTGAAAATAGATCATAGATTTTTCTCTTTAGCCACCTAACATGATTTTTGCTTTGTTTAGTTTTTGAACCACCTGGCAGTGCTCAGGGATTACTCCTGGCTCTGTGCTCAGGGATCACTCTTGCCAGGGCTCAGGGGACCATATGGGGTGCTGAGGATTGAAACTGGGTAGACCATGTGCAAGGCAAGTGCCCACCCAATGGACTGTCTTTCCAGTCATTGCTCTGTGATATTCAAAAGGAATATTTAGAGTCAGTACATTAAATGCCTCATACTAGTTGTGTGGAATTAAGAGTGTTATGTTTTCTGCTTTAGCCTCATTTTTCTCATTGGAAATCTAAAGTCACATTCCTGTTTACCAAGAGACTTGTGAGAATTCAATGAATTAGTAAAAGGACGTATACCTCTTAAAATATTAAGTATGGCATATATGCAAAACAAAATATGGTGCCTTCCTGTGTTGTAGTGTGAAATTCCAATCATGTGTCAGGGTATCAGGCTTTGGGAATTTTGATGAGAAACCAGCCTAGGAATGGAGATTTTTGACTCCTCCTGAGGCTCTGTTCTCAGTGGAAAACTGCTCAACAAGGAGTATGTACCTCATTGGACTGAGTCATTTAATCTGTCCTAAACATTGTCTGCATTCAAAAGCCACAAGTCAAAAATCAAACCACAATTTTCAGGAACAAAAAGTCCAAATAAATAATTTTAATTATGATACATTACTTATTACAGTAAAAATTGGCATTTTCCCCTCCAAAAGCAGAAGCACCAGTCTTAGAAAGGATAGTTCGGACGGTATTTTAAGTGAAACATAGCTTTATATTATGTGCAAACATCAGTTTAGTCTAGAACATAATTTCTAAAAGTAAAGTAATTTCACATACTGGAGTATGTTAGAATGGAAATAATGCCATGCTGATTAAGAAAATAGCCCCCCCGACTTTCCAAGTCCACTTCAAATGAAATATGCTGTACTTTTGAGTAGTCTAAAGAAAATTTAAAAAAGCTTAAAACTATCCCCAAATAAAGGGATCTCATATACAAATGTGACACGTAAAACTTTTTTCCACATTGTTGTGTGATTTTGTGAGAAACTTAAGTGAATTTTTGAGTAATTAATTTGCTCTTTTGGTCATCACATTTTTATTAAACACCTACTTTGTGCAAGTCAGGCTTTGTGGTAGGTGCTGGGAATACACAGAAGAAAGACACAGTCCTGCCTTTGAGGAGCTCACAGTCTAGTGGGGGTAACAGATAGGCTGACTCGGATTTCAAAATTATAAAAATTATTACAGAACCATATAACATTTTGTGATTAAACAAACTTTGGGTGTTATGAATGGATGGTAAAAAGAGATGATGTCCAATGCAGTGAATATCCATCTGCTTCAATATCATGTGACTTCTGCAAAGGCGGTGATGTGGTTCTAAAAAAAGAGAAAGAAAAAGAGTCGCAAAGTTAGAGACTTGGGAAATTGACTTTGTAAAATACTCAGTGTTTTCATAAATAATTATTAGCCTTCTGCAAAACTGTAGCCCATAGATATTTCAGTTGCAAAAACATACAGCACTATTAAACTGTTCTGTTATTATATAAAATTTAGCTGCTAATTATATATTTTATCCAATATCCGTAATTAACAAAATAGACTAACATGTTATACCTGATTTATTCAAAGTTAACACTGAAATTTGGAGAGATAAAAATGGAAATGCTAGACACGTTAATATTCTGTTCAGCGTTAATGGAATTTTAATGCAGCATGTTGGAGTTGCAGATTAATTGCTCCCTGTGAGACAGATGGCATCGAATGAGGTGGTGAAGTGCTCAGACTGAAATGGCATTTGCTAGTTGACAAAGATCTACTTAAACACTTCATTTTTCATGCATGAATCCAGATTCTAAACTGCAATCTCCGTTGTTGTTTACCTCAACCATAGAATTCTTTACAGAGATTTTTTTTTCCTTTCAAGCAACAGAAGTGTAACCAAATAAACCCTAGGAAATGGCTAGTGTTTAGTTGGATTCAAATATGCAACAGACTACTCATGACTACTGAAATAGTGCAATGGAAATTGATATGGCATCATTAATCATGTCACACAGGATTATGTCAAGATCGAACAGGAGTGACAGCCCCACAACAGCAGCATTTCAAAGGGCCTTTTCATATTGTCTCTCTCTCTTTTTTTTTTCTCCCTGGGTCATACTCAGTGATGCACAGGGGTTACTCCTGGCTTTGCACTCAGAAATTACTCCTCACGGTGCTTGGGGGACCATATGGGATGCTGGAAATCAAACCTGGGTCAGCTGCGTGCAAGGCAAATGCCCTACCAGCTGTACTATTGCTCCAGCCCCCACATTGTCTCTTGAAAGCTTTTAACTACAGCTTCTATATTGATTCTTTGTAAGTCAAAGACATACATAGGACTTTAAGGAATGTATGCCATGAGTTTTGTTCATGTACATGTAAATCTTTTCAAGGTAGGGTATTTTAACTAATTAAATATATCTTACTGGTGTATGAAAAAATTGGATTTATTTTGACTGAATTTAGGCATATTAAACCACAGCTAGAAGGATATAATTATTACTTGGTTTGACTTAAACCCAGAGAAAAACATTATTGGTAAATGAATCAGTGATAAGCAAAATAAGCATGCTGACTTTTCATTGCCTTGAGAAGACCTTACCAACTTTATTTATTTATTTATTGGCTTTTTGGGTCACACCTGGTAAAGCACAGGGATTACTCCTGGCTCTGCACTCAGGAATTACCCCTGGCAGACCATATAGGATGCTGGAAATCGAACCCGGGTTGGCCATGTGCAAGGCAAATGCCCTACATGCTGTACTGTTGCTCTAGCCTCAAGACCTTACCAACTTTAAATTCCCACTTTAAAAAAGTATGATGGGAACTATCATTATAGCACAGCGATAGCACAGCGGCAAGCTACCGAGTGTATCTCGCCTGCATGGCAAAGCCTGACAAGCTACCTGTGATGTATTCAATATGCCAAACACAGTAGCAACAAGTCACATGATGGAGACGTTACTGGGCCTGCTTGAGCAAATCCATGAAAAACGGGAAGACAGTGCTACAGTGCTACAGTGATACCCATCTGATAAGGGATTAATATCCAGGATATACAAGACACTAAGAGAATTGTACAAGAAAAAAACCTCCAACCTCATCAAAAATGGGGAGAAGAAATGAACAAAAGTTTCCTTAAAAAAGAAACACAAATGTCCAAAAGGCACATGAAAAAATGCTCTGCGTCACTAGCCATCAGGGAGATGCAAATTAAAACAACAATGAGATATCATCTTACACCACAGAGATAGGCACACATTCAAAAGAACAAAAGCAACCAGTACTGGCATGGATGTGGGGAAAAAGGGACACTCTTTCACTGTTGGTGGGAATGCCCACTAGTCCAGCCTTTCTGGAAAACGATATAAACAGTCCTTCAAAAACTAGAAATGGAACTTTCATATGACTGCAATACCACTTCTGGGAATATATCCTGAGGATGCAAAAAAGCACAGTAGAAATGACATCTATACCTATATGTTCATTGCAGCACTGTTCACAATAGCCAAAATCTGGAAACAACCCAAGTGCCCTAGCACAGATGACTGGTTAAAGAAACTTTGGTACATCTACACAATGCAATACTATACAGCTGTCAGGAGAGATGAAGTCATGAACTATGCTTATAAATGGAAAGACATGGAGAGTATCATGCTAAATAAAATGAGTCAGAAAGAGAGGGACAGACATAGAAGGACTACACTCATTTGTGGAAATATAAAATAACATAACATGAAGCTAACACCTAAGGAAAATAGATAAATAGGGCAGATAGATTGCTCAATAGCTGGAAGCCTGCCTCATGAGCAAAGGGGAGAAGGCAGCTGGAATAGAGAAGGGATCACTAAGAAAAAGATGGCTGGAGGAATCGGTCGGGATGGGAGATGTGTGCAGAAAGTGGATAAAGGATCAAACATGGTAACCTCTCAGGGTCTGTATTGCAAATCATAATGCCCAAAAGTAGAGAGAGATTATGGGGTATCATGTCTGCCACAGAGGCAGGTGGAGGGTGGGAAAGAAGGGGGATACCGGGGAGATTGGTGGTGGGGAATGAGCACTGGTGGAAGGATGGGTGTTTGATCATTGTGTGATTGAAACCTAAACATGAAAGCTCGTAACTATCTCATGGTGATTCAATCACGATCACGATCACGACCATCCTGTTGTTCGTCGATTGCCTCGAGCAGGCCCCAGTAACGTCTCCTTCGTCCTAGCCCTGAGATTTTTTTTTTTTAAAGTGCCATATTCAAGCCTCTTTCAGGGTGAGGAGAATGAGACCCATCATTGTTACTGGTATTTGGCATATTGGGTATACCACGGGGAGTTTGCCAGACTCTGCTGTGTGGGCAGGTTACATTCCGTAGCCTGCCAGTTTGTCCAAAGTAGGTATGAGATGATAAGATGTCGCGTGGCCACGAATGCGGCCGCGTGCTTCCGGGAGCTGAGTGTGATAATCTCTGGATCCTGGCCGTTGTTGGGGTTACACGGCAGTTGGTGGGTGTAACTGTCTAGCTACTGTCAGGTCCAGTCCCAAACTGTGCAGGCTTGGAGATCTCAGCCCCGATAAAACTAAAAAAAGTATGATGGGGCAATTTAGGAGGTAGGGTGCTTGCCTTACATGTGACCAATCTGGATTCGATCTCCTGCACCCAGATGGTCTCCCAAGCCCCACCAGAAGCGATCCTGAGCTCAGAGAGAGCAATAAGCTCTGAGCACTGCTCAGCATGACCCCCAAACAAACCAAAAAACCAACAACAAAAAACATGATGAAATTGCTGGAAAATGAAGTTAATCATTTTTTCCCCAGTTCTCCTTATAAAAAAATGCAAGTATGACTTCAGGATTTAAAACTAACAAATAACAACTTAGTCCTATCCTGAGTTTGTTTCCAAACATGAGGAGTTTCATTTCCTTTCTCTTCTACTTTCCAGTAAACTTTTCTATTTTCTAAAACAAAGAAAAAAACAGGGACATGCCAGAGTTATATAACACAGTGACCACATAAACTCCCTAAGAACTTTGGAAATGGTACATCATAGTTTTATTTTCAGTCACTGCACAGATAACAGAAATCTGTGAATGGAGAAAATAGTGTGATAATCACAGTTTCAAGGGGTAGAGGGGCCATCCTTGACAAGATATAACCTAGCATAGCTATATAAAGAGGTATAGACGCGCATTGAAGATGAGTAAGTCAGCGGGAACTGGAGGTAGAAGAGCAAAACATTGAGAGAGAGAGAGAGAGAGAGAAGAATATAGATTTAAAGAGAGACTATGAATGGTGTTTTGAAGGCCCTTGGCCTAAGTATCAGGGTTACCCTGATATAGCACTTAGATTCTTAAACTGATTGAGGGCTTCATATGGGATTGTGTAACTGGATATGTGGGTTGCAAAATATATCAGCAGGAAAAGGTTTCTTAACATGCAATAGTTCTGCAGCACTGTAGCACTGTCCTCCTGTTGTTCATAGATTTGCTCAAGCAGGCACCAGTAATGTCTCCATTGTGAGACTTGTTGTTACTGTGTTTGGTATATCGAATATGCCACAGGGAGCTTGCCAGGCTCTGTCGCTCTGCCGTGTGGGTGGGATACTCTCAGTAGCTTGCCAGACTCTCTGAAAGGGATGGAGGAATTGAACCCGGGTCGGCTGCGTGCAAGGCAGACACCCTACCTGCTGTACTACTGCTCCAGCCCATGCAATGCAATAAATCAACTTAACTCAAAATCAACTACTTAATAAATCTGAAGTATTTCTGACGCTATTCCCCATGTCACCATTTCTTGGACAAAACGGGGTTGTGAGTGGGGAAAGTCTTGTAAAAAAGTGGGGGGAGGGGGAGCAGGGCTAAGTGCCTTCTCAGCCCTTAGGCCTGCCTGCAATATGTAAAGGACTGGGGGCTCAGCACCCTATCATGGCCAGGCTAAGTCCTGTGGCCTGCTGGCCTGTCCAGCCCTAGCAGGCATCCAGGAGTTCAGGAGTACCTGATAGCTGTGTGAGTATTGCCTGGTGACAACTGGACTAAAGGACCATGTGCTATAGAACCCGCAGAGCAGCATGCTTATCCAGGACCCTTCGGCTGGCCTGGAGCAAGTTCCCCATGAGTGAGTGGACTGGAGTGAGCGTGCTAGTGGGGAATAAGCTGCATCCGATGGAGAACAACAGGTCAGTATACATGAAGAGCATTCTGGAAGGCTGTATATCATTAGTGATGACCACTTAAACCACCAGTGAAAGAGAAATTGGGCTCATTCTGGAGATTTTTAACCAGATCGCCCTCACCATCTGCATGCCTCTGCCCTCTTCCCTCCATCCTGGCCAGTGTGTGCTGGG